GCAGGGAGCCCGATGTGGGACTCGATCCCAGGACCCTGGGATCATGACCTGAGCCGAAGGCAGACGCTTAACGACTGAGCCACCCAGGCGCCGCTAACCAATTAGTTTTGATAGCTTAGATTTTTTTTTGCTTTAGTTGCCTTAGGATATTTTACTAAATGTACACAAAGTATGCCTTTGAAAATATTTTCACTACCTTGATTGTAAAAACTTACTGTTTGAGAAGACTGGCTTTCGTCTGATAATAATAGCAGAGAGAGGGGCCAAAACAAGATTGTGATACATGTAGTTTTCATATCGCAGGCCTGATAGAAAAGAGAATATTTTCATCTCAATAGGAGAAGAACTTTAGAGAGTACTGAGGATATTTTGATTTCCCCTTTTCTCCTTTTAAATTCATTTTTTATTAAAATATATGAAATGTGAAACGCGTACATGTTGCCACACCCTCCCTGCACTCTAATCTTAAACTGGAAAGTCCCTGGCAAATGAAAGTGTTTTTCGAATGTCTCATTAGTTCCTGATCGATTAAAAGTAAACTTTAAAACAAGTGAAGTGGTTGTATATTTTAAAATTTTAATATATGTGTATGAAAGAAAGTCAAGACTATATTTAGGTGTATGTACATAAGTTTAAGTATATGCTTATATAGCTATTTTTTGGTTTTTTTATTTTTAGACATTGTCTATTGATATAATCTGTTGACTTAAAACTGTGGGAGATGAGAGCCTTCAGCTGTTTTTCAGACACTCCCTACCTTCATCTTCAATCCATTGAATGTATGCTTTCTATCTCTTCATTCTACAAACATAGTTACTTATAATTTTGGTCTTTTTCCATCTTGTGAATTTGCTTTTAAGTTAATGTCACTTTCAGAATGCTCTATGATTAGCATATTTCAGAATAAAAAGATCTTATAAATTTGATTAGATGAAACCTTTTTTTCCCTAAAGAAAATTAATTACTTTGTATTACATTATAAATGTATTTGGAAAAGACTTTTTGGCCACATCCCAGGTTTATATTTCTAAGGTAGAGCATACGAAGATATAATTATATTTTCTGCTCTTTCATCCCGTATTAAAGAAAGATTTTTGTAGATTAGCAAACCTAAATATGGTTTGTTTGTTTTAAATTCACCAGCAACCATCAAACCTGTAAATATATGGGATCTTACCTTTACTTTTTTCTTTTCTCTGAGACTTGTGTGCTAAGGAATCTACTGTTTCTTCTAGACCATTAAAAAAAAAATATGTCATATGTTGCATTTCACTATGCTTTAACCTTTGTACCCAAAGAACACGTGATTAAAAAAAAAAAGCTAGACTTTCTTAGCAAAAGATTGACTAGAAGAATAATTTCTTAGTCATCTTTGACTTTTTTAGCATAACAAGTAAAATGCTTTGCTTAACCTTTGTGTTTCTTAATTACTCTTGAAAAATGTAAGTATTAGCAAATTAACTTTGCAAGTTAAAGTATATAATATTGAAAAATGCATACTTGGAAAGATATATTGTTAAAGTGATTTAAAGTTAGTCTTAAAGGTATTTTGTGTTTAGAAAGATTCAAGTTGAAAAGATAGCCCCCAAGTTTTGAATTCCCGTTTCAACTTTGTTTACTCATTTTTATGACACTGTCATTGGTGGATTTACTGCCAAGTTATAATACGAGCAAAGTGCTCAAAGCATCAAAAGACCTCTAACGCTGGCCATATTGTGGCCCTCAAAAAATGAGTTACCTTCCTTGTGCTGCAGCTTCCCCTCTGTAAAATGGAATACTGTATTACCCTCGTTCCCCTGTAACTACAGTAAACATATATCAGGCAAAAACGTGGTTAAGATTCATTGTCGATAGTGAATAATCATGGAGTTCAGAATGAGTTAGTTCCAAAAGATTAACTCCCATGAGCCTTAGTATTCTTAATCTATGAAACAAAAAGATTGAAATTGATGACCTTTCTTGCTTGAAAGTTCTGTGAGCCCATAAACCCATGTAAATTCAGCAGCAAACACGTTTGTTATACGATAGTAATTGAAGTTCAAAGAGAAGATATCACTCCTTGTCAATAGACAAAAATAAATAGAAATTCCAGGTTGTTTGTCTGATTTTGTTCATCTTTTATTGGGATATTATGAGATGTTGTTTGTAGGAAAATTTCTGAATTTAGATTGTTTTATTCTGGCAGTGTAAAAAATGTGTGGGGAATACGTGAATCTGTAAGGCTTAGAGAGTGATTGTGAAAACTATTAGTTGATAACTACATGTGAAAGATTAAATAGTAGAATACTCCTATTTTGAAACTCAAAATAAAAATTTTGATATTTAGACTAAACAGTTATCTTCAGGTAGTCTTTTTAGTCTTGAAGTAGTTACATGATAACTAGCATCCTTTTTTTTTTTTTCCCCAAAATTCTGGAGAATTTTTTCAGAATTCTAGAGAAAAATTCTATCCTATTGATAATTGACCTTGCTTAGGTAATAAGTGGCACATCACTGGTATTTCTTATGATTATATGATAAAGATTGTTATTGTTTGTAATTAATGACTATTTCTCTTATATGGTTACACTTGTGATATTCGTGTTACGTTTTTGGAGACACTAACTTATTTTGCACCGCTAAAATACAGTTGATAAGTTTTGGAATACCAATTTTAATTAAAGTAGTAGGTAAGCAAAATATATTATTAATCTAAAGTTACGATTTTTTTTTTTTATCAAATTGCACTGTAGGTCTCCCTACTCTCAGATCAGTCAGAGCTGTGTTACTTTATATCATTTACATGGTGAACTACAATACAAGATTTCATTTGGTCAAAGAATCTGTAGCTAAAAGATGTTTGAAAACCACTATTCTAAAATTGTCTTATTAGTCTTGAGGGTATGACAGAGTTGTAAATACATCCTCATATGTGCAAGCTTTAGGGATTTTTCTGTGATAATCTTTGTGTTTTCTTATAAGAAAGTAAAATGAGTAGTAAGGAGATAGAAGGATTTGGGGATTGAGAAGAGAAAGATATAAAATAGGTCTGTGCTGATGGGGACAATTTTTTTTTTTTTTTGGAACTGTAAGGGATTTTCATATTGTCTTAATTTTTAACTGAAGAATAGTTGACACATAATGTTAATTTAAGTTTCAGGTGTACAATGTAGTGATTCAACAGTTCCATATGTTACGCAATGTTCACCACAAGTTACCATCATCATATAGCCCTATTACAGTACTGTTGACTATATTACCTATGCTGTACTTTTCATCCCTGAGACTTACTCATTCCTTAACTAGAAACCTGTACCTCCCACTCCCCTTCACCCATTTTTGCCCATGCCCCCACCCTCTTCCCTCTGGCAACCACCAGTTTGTTCTCCAAATAGAATTTTTTGTATATCTATAAGGATTACAAACTATGTGGAATAACTTTACCATATTTAGTTGGGACCATGACCTCAGTAAAAGTAATTGTTGTTATTCCCCTCAATGTAATAAGAGGAATATTGGATACTTTTGATTTCAGGAAGGAAAAACAAATTAGAAGTGTAGAAGAAGAAGTTGAACAGGAAAAACAAGCAGCAGATGGCATTATCAAAAACATGTCTCCTGAAAAACAAATCAAGTACACAGAAATGAAAACCACAAATGAGAAATTGTTGCAGGTAATACCAATCACTACTTCATCCAGCATATAGCAGTCTTACTACTATATGGTCTGAAGATGGGCAGCATTGGCATCCCTGAGAACTTGACTAGACCTACTGGTCAGAATCTTAATTTAACAAGGTCCCCAGATAATTTGTATGGACAGACATTTAAATTTGAGAAGCACTAATCTAGAAAACTTCATTTTCTTATGCTGCATGATGATCAAATCTTACTGTATTATTTGTTCATTTCTATGCATCTTTCACTTTTGCATGTCATACAGATACATGAAAACACTTGGGTTTTTTTTTTTTTAATGAACTGTTAGTAGAAATAATAAAAAACCTCATATACCAGAGCCATAGGGATATTTACTTTCTTTTTTCCTACCTAATAAGCAGCACATCTTTTACTTCTTTGTCCTTGATTTGAACAGCTCTTGCCTCCTAAACATAGTGTTTAAATAAGCAATTTGGGAGCCTGCTGAGGGGTTATTGAGAATTCTTCCAACATTCAGGCATGGTGGTGACTCCAGTTTGCAAGTTAGTGCCCTTACATACCCAGATAACCCTTAACTAAACAGCAGAGAATTAGTCCCCCAAAATGCCAAAAGTGAATGTAGTTCTGGTTTCTCAGATATAACTTCATTGACAATTTAACATAACTATTTTAGTCAGGATTTATAAGATACAATGAAACACTGAAGAAAGAGTATTATAGAAATGCCAAAATACCATCAAAATATAGTTAATCTAGCCCAGTGGTTTTTGAATAATAATCAGCTGGAAAGTCTTTTTTTTTTTTTTAAAGATTTTATTTATTTATTTGACAGAGACAGAGATAGCGAGAGCAGGAACACAAGCAGCGGGAGTGGGAGAGGGAGAGCAGGCTTCCCGCCGAGGAGGGAACCTGATGTGGGACTCGATCCCAGGACCCTGGGATCATGACCTGAGCTGAAGGCAGACGCTTAAGGACTGAGCCACCCAGGCGCCCTCAGCTGGAAAGTCTTGTCCCTAGGAGTGAGCCATGTAAATTACTATATGTCTTGGCCCTGAAAGAAATTAGGTAAAAGATATGGAAACATGGTTTTAAAAAATCAAAGTTAACTTTAAACAATAACATCATTAATTTGAGGGCTTCTGATATTTAATATTTTCGAAACACAGTGATGATTCACTGTGAAAAGGTCTGGCTACATTTGACAAGCTCCTAGTATTTTTTTAAAGGTAGATCATGGCAAAGTTTTTAGGAATAATGAAAGAAATTGGCAAAGATAGAAATAATGTTAATAAATTCTAGTCAATAGCAAGATGAGAGTTGAATATATTTATAATGTTTACTTTGTCACATCCACATTTGAGATGCTAAGAAACAGAAATATATTATTGTAAATATAACTTGTATATATATTTACTTTTTTCCTTTTTCTTAGGAGTTAGACACACTTCAGCAACAACTAGATTCACTGAACATGAAAAAAAAGAGCTTGGAAGCTGTAAGTATAAAATCACTTAAGGGTTCTTATATTAGCTACAAAAGATAATTCAGCTAAATAAAAGGAACTCATTCAAGTATATATTTATTTAGTAGTTTACTACGAGGAGTATAATTTTTTTCCCATTCAGCACCACAAATATCCTACTTTGGTAAGAAATTAGATTCAGGGGGCGCCTGGGTGGCTCAGTTGGTTAAGCACCTGCTTTCGGCTCAGGTCATGATCCTGGAGTCCCAGGATCAAGTCCCGCATCGGGCTCCCTGCTCCGCAGGGAGTCTGATTCTCCCTCTGCCTCTCCCCGCTCCCACCCGCCTCATGGCTTGTGCTCTCTTACTCACTCTCTCTCTCTTGCAAATAAATAAATAAAATCTTTAAAAGAAAAAGAAAAAGAAATTAGATTCAGTTATTGAGTACCTACTGTGTGCAAAATCATTCTGCCTTGCTGAGGCATGCAAAATCTAATAGTAATTTAAAGACATAAACAAGAAATTCAAAAGAAGTGGAGGGAGAGAGATCAGTTCATCACTTTAAAGATGTAAATGCTTGCTATTTGTTACTTGTTTATTTAAAGCAGTTTTAATTTTAAAAAAAACATGTTTATGGTAAAAAAAAAAAATTAAAGAAGATGAAAGTGAAAATGCCTGTTTCTTTTCCCTCTTTCCAGACAGAACCACTTTGTATTTTTTGAGTGCTTATTCTGTGCTTTTTTGAGCTCTTTATGTAGATCACCAGCATTGTCATTTAATCTTTACAACAATTTTATAATCCTATCTTGGTTTTATTGTCGTGGAAAACCTCAAGTGGGATTCACATTTAAAATGCTGTCTGCAGCTTGGTTTTGTTTGTTTTCACCTAGCATTCTCTTGATTGTCTGTTCACATCAGCTCTCAGAGATCTCCTTCATTATTTTAAATTACTGCATTGTGTTACATTGCATGACTATAACACAGCCTTGTAGATGAATAGCTTGTTTATAGTTTTTTTTAGTATTTTTGGATTATAAACAATGCTGCAATGAAAACATGCATTTTATACAAAGTTAAATGAATATGTCTTCCGATAAGTTTCTTGGAATGAGTCAAAAGCTAAATACACACTTCTGAAATGTAAGGATGCCAAATTGCCTTCCAAAAAGGTGGTTTCATTTTCTACTTCTAGACTCAATGTATCAGAGTGCCTGTTTTCCCGTGCACTCATTTAATAGCAAGCATTATTCACTTTTTCCATTTTTACTAGTTTAATAGGTAAAAATTTCTATCTTGTTTTAATTTTCACTTAGTTATGCATTTGTTGGCCAATGTATTTCTTTTTCTGTGAACTACCTTTGTCATGTCCTTTACACTTCAGTATACTGTCTATACCTCAAACCTTGCCTGCCTTTCCTGATTTCCTGTGGATTCAGGTAGGTATCATGATGATAGGATTTGCTGTTGAAAAAGTAGTTTACTTATGGATTAGTCGATTAAGCCTCTGCCTTCTGCTCAGGTCATGATCCGTCCTGGGATGAGTCCCACATTGGTCTCCCTGCTGAGGAAGGAGCCTGCTTCTCCCTCTCCCCTTGCTCCTCCCCGCTGCTCATGCTCTCTCTCTCTCTGTCAAATAAATAAAATCTTTTAAAAAAATTATCAAAATGGTTTTCTATGCTGATTTTCTTCATGTGAGTATAATTTTTATTTTTTTGGATATCTCTGGTAATAGAAATATGCTTCAAAGAGTAAGGACCACATTTAGTATTAACACAGCTGGCCTGCAGAATTCCTCACTATCTGTTTTAGGGTTTGTGGGGAATGTCAAGTCTTATTTCACTTGGTAAAATTTAGTTTCTGCGGGAAGAGGTGTAAGCTATATCCTTGGATTTAGTGTTTGTATTGATGCCACTTTTTGACATCAGCACATGTATGCCTACAATAACATGAAATTTTATAAAAACTTACAGTATTCTCAGATCAAGAATATATAAGTAGTGGGGCAGACAGGGTGGCTCAGTCAGTTAAGCATCTGACTCTTGTAGACTCTTGGGCTCCCTGTTCAGCGGGGAGTCTGCTTCTCCCTCTCCCTCTGCCCCTCCCCTGGCTCCTGCGCGCTCTCTCTCTCAAATAAATAAAGTCTTTAAAAAAAAAAAAAGAAAGAAAGATCAACATGCGTTTTATTGAGGAACAGTTTTATTGAGATGCAATTTGAACAAGTCTTAGGATGATTAAGCAAAAGGAAGGGGGAGATAACTATGAAAAGGAATACCCCAAAATACCTGCATTTCTTCTATCTGTATTTCATTATCACACTTTTTCACCTGAACCTAATCCATTACTTTGAGCTGTATATATGGTGCTTTTTTTTTTTAAGATTTTTTTTTTTTTGACAGAGACACAGCGAGAGAGGGAACACAAGCAGGGGGAGTGGGAGAGAGAGAAGCAGGCCTCCCCACTGAGCAGGGAGCCCGATGGTGGGGCTCGATCCCAAGACCCCGGGATCATGACCTGAGCCGAAGGCAGACGCTTAACAACTGAGCCACCCGGGCGCCCCTTTTTTTAAAGATTTTTAAGTAATCTCTACACCCAGCGTGGGGCCCAGACCCACAACCCCCGAGACCAAGAGTCCCACTCTCCACCAAGGGAGTCAACCAGGTGCCCCTATATTATGCTTTTTAAATAGACTTTCACACATTTCCTTTAATTCACTTTTTCCTTTTAAGATTCCTTCTCTTTGGCTTTCAAAAAAGAGGAGGTCTTGCCTCTTAAAAATTTGGTCTCTTTCATGCTACGGACCTAGTTTCAGATATCATCATTCACTTTTATGTTTGTTAACTTAGAAAATTATTTAGATCTCAGATCCTCAGTCTCTTCATGTGTAAAATAGAGATGATAATATTATCTGATAGAGTTGTTCTGAGGATTAGAGATAGTATATAAAGAACATGGAATATAGTGCCTGGCACAGAACAAGTAATTAATAAATAACAGCTTTAAATGCCGTTTTCTCCCTCCTCCTCATCATCACTATCAACAACCCTGGCTCTTTTGGTTATCTACTAAAGTTGCCACAGCCCTTATTTTCTCTTTGTGAACAGTAGAATAGTGGTGAATATACAATAACTATTCTACTCTTGTGTATTAATTTCCTAGTGCTGCTGTAATAAAGTAACACCCACTGGGTAGCTTAAAACAACAAATTTTCTCACTCTTCTAGAGCCTAGAAGTCTAAAATCAAGGTGTCAGCAGAGCCGTTTCCTCTGAGACTTTGTTAGAATCTTTCCTGACCTCTTCCTACCTTCTGGTGGTGCCTATCAATCCTAGGCATTCATTCCTTTATTTTAACTGCATCACCCCAGCTTCTGCCTGTGTCATCACATGGCTCCCCTTCTGTGTCTCTGTCTATGACTTCTCTTATCAGGACACCAGTTATTCTGGATTAGGGTATTAGGGTCCACCCTAATGACCTCGTCTTAACATGACTAAATTGGCAAAGACCCCGTTTCTAAGTTAGGTCATATTCACAGGTATTGGAGATTACCAGGACTTCAACACATCTTTTTGGGTGACAGTTCAACCTATATAATATTGCATTAGAGTATGTATATGACTACATATATATGAAAATATATTCCCTCTAGAGATCAGTTCTTTAGACTTTAAATTTAATATTGTGGTTAAAGTTGTACATACATTGTGACATTTTCTTTATTATCTTCCCATTGGTAGAGATGTCTTATCTTTGTTCAGGTCTTATATTTAGAAGATAAAATAAACTACCATCTTCTCATGAATCTTAGACTGAAAATAGCTTATGAAGGAAAAGGGGTTTATTTTTATTCTTCCAATTTACAAATGTGCTTTGTAGCATCATTGAGTACTGTAGATATTTGATATCACTATTTAAAAATGCTGATGGTTTAAATTTGTCCTTATTCTTATAAACTGAAACCTATGTGAGAATAGTTTTTGATAAAATACTAATTAAATGTTTCTTCTTTTTGTGCCCTTCAGGAAATAGCACACTCCCAGGTAAAACAGGAGGCTGTATTGCTGCATGAAAAACTTTATGAATTGGAGTCCCATCGAGACCAAATGATTACTGAAGACAAAAGCATGGGATCTCCAATGGAAGAAAGAGAGAGATTACTTAAGCAGGTAGAAAAACAAAAATACTTATTTTACTATATCAAGATGTGGTGAATGTATTGATTTATTTTATTTAAGGCATAAGAGTTGAACAGAAAGCCAGTACTTAAAAAACAGTGAAAAGTGAGTTTCATCTAAATTGAGATGAACTGTTTGACCAAGAAAATCTAAGTGAAAGTCATTTCTCATATAAACTGTTTCTTGATTTAAATCCTACTTTTATATGGTCTTTGTGCACATTTTGGCCATTTTTTCATCTTTTGGATCCATATAAGGAAACTGAAGGCTCTCTTTATTGGTCAGTAAACAATTAGATAATCTTACTGAAGATCTGTTCCATTATTTGTTTGGGGCTCCAAGGTTCATGAATTTTTGTGGTTATTTTTATCAGTGTCTCCATGAAGTGAATGGAATTAAAATGTCCTATGAAATCACAGTATCTGACCAAGTTGTGTCACATGTATTCAGTAGCTTTATTACTACCCACAGCTAGCTTTAATTTAGCACCAAGTTATAATTAGCCTGTTATTTATAATGAGACACCCTAACTATAGGGCCCTTAGGAGAAATGCATATATATTTGGGAACAACACCCATCAGGAACCTACAAATGAGACTCCTTTGTGGTCCTAGGTTGAGCCCAAATGGTTTGGAAGAACCTTAGGATCAACTTGGGAGCTATTTAAGTATTAGAATCATTCCAGAAAGGTATTAAAATCTAGACTCTGAAATTCCTTGGAAAGAGATCATCGGAGGCAGGGGAGGGAGAGTGTGATCTTGTGATAGGACTGTCAGATGAAATACAGAACAACTAGTTAAATTTTAATTTCAGGAAGCAGTGAATAATGTTTAGAGTAAGAGTGTGTGTGTGTCTGCATGGTATATTAGGGCATGGTATATACATGCCCTAAAAGTTATTCCTTGTTTATCTGAAATTCAGTTGTAATGGAATTGCTAAATCTGGCAACCCCTGCCTTGTGTGTGTGAGTTGGGGGGGTGAGGCGAGACAGTCTCAGAAATCCTGAAAATCCTGGATATTTATGTAAACTGTTCCAGGCCTGAAGACATGTTAACCTCATGGTGCCATGTGGATAGGTATAGCTGTGTCAGTCATCACCCTTCCTTTGAAGAAAAAGGAAAAATTTGTGAATAGTTACTTAATGATGTGTTTTTTAACTTCAAAGGTTAAATTTTAAGAAATAGGTTTTAAGAGACTGTATTTGACATTTTAGTACAGCATACGTAGAAGGAAATTATGTTTAAGGTACCCTAACAATGAGTAATTGTTTAAGTACTATTTTCTTTTTATGCCTTTATAGGTTAAAGAAGATAATCAGGAAATAGCCAGCATGGAGCGACAGTAAGTACTTTATAATAGGACATATTACATCCATTTCACATCTTTTAAATTATATTCTAAATGTGCAATAGGTACATACTGTTGTTACAGTTATCTTTTCCTATAGTTCACACTGGTAATATTGATGCAGCTTTCAATCTTATTTACAACTTTAAATATTTCTTTTAATATTTAGTTAAGAGCCATTGCACAGTATAATTATTATTACTATTTTTGAGAGAGAGAGCATGAGCTGAGTGTGGGGAGGGGCAGAGGGAAAGAGAGAATCTTAAGCAGGCTCCACATCCAGTGTAGAGCCCGATGTGGAGCTTGATCTCATGACCCTAAAATCATGGCCTGAGCTGAAATCAAGAGCTAGAAGCTTAACTGACTGAGCTACCCAGGTGCCCCTATTTTTAGAAAATAGCTTTATTAAGATATAATACCATACAATTCATATATTTAAAGTATACAGTTCAGAGGTTTTTAGTATATTCAGAATTGTGTGACCATCACCTCAGTAACTTTTAGAACAGTTTAATCTCCCCAGTAAGACCCAATATCTGTTTCCTCACCCCACCTCATCCATCACTCCTAGCCCTAGGTAACCATTCTACTTTATGTCCCTATAGATTGGCCTATTCTGGACGTTTTATATACATGGAATCATACAATATGTGGTCCTTTGTGGCTGGATTCTTTCAGTCAGCATAATGTTTTCAAGGTTCATCTGTGTTGTAGTATGCATTCGTATTTAATTTCCTTTTTTTTTTTCTGGCCAAATAGTAATCCATTGTGTGGTTATGCCATACTTAACCAGTTATCAGTTGATAGCATTTGGATTGTTTCCATTTTTGCCTATGATGGATCATCCTGGTATGAACATTGTTGTACAAGTTTTGTGTGAACATATGTTTTCAGAGTACAAATCCTTTACCTCTTTGGTCAGATTTATTCCTAGGTATCTTATGGTTTTTGGTGCAATTGTAAATGGGATCAATTCCTTGATTTCTCTTTCCCCTGCTTCATTGTTAGTGTATAGAAATGCAGCTGACTTCGGTGCATTGATTTTTTTCCCCCTAAGTCTTGGTTAACTGTATTTTTTTTTAACATTTTTTTAGTTTAAATTCAGTTAATTAACATTTAATGTATTATTGGTTTCAGAGGTACAGGCCTGTGATTCATCAGTCTCATACCCAGTGCTCATTACATCACATGCCCTCCCTTAATATCCATCACCCAGTTACCCTTTCCCTCCATCTCCCTCCCCTTCAGCAGCACTCAGTTTGTTTCCTATGATTAAGAGTCTCTTATGGTTTGTCTCCCTCTCTAGTTTTGTCTTGTTTTATTTTTTCCTCTCTTCCCCCATATCTATAGCCATACCACCCTGAATGCGCCTGATATTGTCTGTGCATTAATTTTATATCCTGAGACTTTGCTTAATTCCTGTATCAGTTCTAGCAGTTTTTGGGTGGAGTCTTTTGGGTTTTCTACATAGAGTATCATGTCATTTGAGAAGAGTGAAAGTTTGACTTCTTTTTTGCTGATTCAGATGCCTTTTACTTCTTTTTGTTGTCTGATTGCTGAGGCTAAGACTTCCAGTACTATGTTGAACAGCAGTGGAGAGAGCGGACATCCCTGTCATGTTCCTGACCTTAGGGGAAAAGCACTCAGTTTTTCCCCATTGAGAATGATCCTTGCTGTGGGTTTTTCATAAGTGGCTTTTATGGTATTGAGGTATGTTCCTTCTATCCCTATACTGCAGAAAGCTTTTACCAAGAAAGGATGCTGTATTTTGTCAAATGCTTTTTCTGCATCAACTGAAAGGATATATGGTTTTTGTCCTTTCTTTTTTTTATTTATTTATTTGAGAGAGAGACTGAGAGAGAGAGAGCATGAGAGGGGGGAGGGTCGGAAGGGTCAGAGGGAGAAGCAGACTCCCTGCCGAGCAGGGAGCCCGATGCGGGACTCGATCCCGGGACTCCAGGATCATGACCTGAGCCGAAGGCAGTTGCTTAACCAACTGAGCCACCCAGGTGCCCTGTCCTTTCTTTTATTAATGTGGTGTATCACATGGATTGATTTGAGGGTGTTGAACCATCCTTGCAGCCCGGGAATAAATTCCATTTGGTTGTGGTGAATATAATCTTTTTAATGTACTGTTGGATCCTATTAGCTAGTATCTTGGTGAGAGTTTTTGCATCCATGTTCATCAGGGATATTGGTCTGTAATTCTCCTTTCTGGTGGGATCTTTGTCTGGTTTTGGGATCAGCGTAATTCTGGCCTCATAGAATGAGTTTGGAAGTTTTCCTTCCATTTCTGTTTTTTGAAACAGCTTCAGAAAAATAGGTATTAATTCTTTTTTTTTTTTAAGGTTTTATTTATTTATTTGACAGAGAGAGCACAAGCAGGGGGAGTGGCAGGCAGAGGGAGAGGGAGAAGCAGGCCCCCCACAGAGCAGGGGGAGCCCGATGCGGGACTCGATCCCAGAACCCCAGGATCATGACCTGAGCCGAAGGCAGTAGCTCAACCAGCTGAGCCACCCAGGTGCCCCAGTAATAATTCTTCTTAAAATGTTTGGTAGAATTCTGCGGGGAGGCCATCCAACGTTTGTTGGGAGATTTTTGATTACTGCTCCAATTTCTTTGCTGGTGATGGGTCTGTTCAGGTTTTCTATTTCTTCCTGTTTCGGTTTTGGTAGTTTATATGTTTCTAGGAATGCATCCATTTCTTCCAGATTGCCTAATTTGTTGGCATATAAATTGCTCATCGTGTGTTCTTATAATTGTATTTCATTGGTGTTGGTTGTGATCTCTCCTCTCTCATTTATGATTTTATTTATTTGGGTCCTTTTTCTTTTCATTTTGATGTCTGGCTGGTAGGGGTTTATAGATTTTATAAATTCTCTCAAAGAACCAGCACCTAGTTTCATTGATCTGTTCTCCTGTTTTTTTTATTTCTATGTCATTGATTTCTGCTCTGATCTTTATTATTTCTATTCTCCTGCTGGCTTTAGGCTTTATTTGCTATTCTTTTTTTTTTTTTTTTAAAGATTTTATTTATTTATGAGAGACAGAGAGGCAGAGGGAGAAGCAGGCTCCCAAGGAGCAGGGAGCCCGATGCGGGACTTGATCCCAGGACCCTGAGATCATGACCTGAGCCGAAGGCAGATGCTTAACCATCTGAGCCACCCAGGCGCCCTTATTTGCTATTCTTTTTCCAGCTCTTTTAGGTGTAAGATTAGGTTGTGTATTTGAGACTTTTCTTGCTTCTTGAGAAGGGCCTGTATTGCTATATACTTCTCTCTTTTCATTTGTTTCCATGTATTTTTTTTTAAGGTTTTATTTATTTGCATGAAGAGAGAGAGAGCACACAAGCAGGGGGAAAGGCAGAGGGAGAGGGAGAAGCAGGCTCCCTGCTGAGCAGGGAGCCCAACACAGGGCTCAATCCAAGGACCCTGGGATCATGACCTAAGCCGAAGGCAGATGCTTAACCAGCTTAGCCACCCAGGCACCCCATTTCCACGTATTTTTAAAATTCTTCTTTAATTTCCTGGCTATTAAGATGCTCTTTTACCTCCATGTGTTTGTGTTCCTTCCAAATTTTCTCTTGTGATTGAGTTCACATTTTAAAGCATTGTGGTCTGAAAATACGCATGGTATAATCTAAGACTTTTGGTACCAGTTGAGACCTGATTTGTGACCCCATATGTGATTTGTTCTGGAGAATGTCCCATGAGCACTTGAGAAAATGTGTATTCTGTTTTTTTAGGATGAAATGTTCTGAATGTCTGTGTGTCATTCAAAGCCCCTGTTTCCTTGTTGATCTTCTGCTTAGATGATCTGTCCGTTGCAGTGAGTGGGATGTCCCCTACTATTTTTGCATTATTATCAATGTGTTTCTTTAATTTTGTTATTAATTGGTTTATATAATTGGCTGTTCCTAACTTAAGGGCATAGATATTTACAATTGTTAGATCTTGTTGTTGGATAAACCCTTTTATTATGATATAGTGTCCTTCTTCATCTGTTATTATAGTCTTTGTTTTAAAATCTAATTTGTCTGATACAAGGATTGCCACCCCAGCTTTCTTTTGATGTCCATTAGCATGATATATGGTTTTCCACCCCCTCACTTTAAGTCTGGAGGTGTCTTTGGGTCTAAAATGAGTCTCTTGTAGATACCATATTGATGGGTCTTATTTTTTTATCCAGTCTGATACCCTTTGTCTTTTGATTGGAGTTTTTAGTCCATTTACATTTAGAGTAAGTATTGAAAGTTATAAATTTAGTGCCATTGTATTACCTGTAACGTCACTGTTTCTGTAGATTGTCTATGTTCCTTTCTTGTCCTTGTTTCTTTGGGGCTCTCTCTTCACTTAATATTTCTTGCAGGGCTGGTTTAGTGTTCACAAATTCCTTTAGTTTTTGTTTGCCCTGGAAACCCTTTTCTCTCCTTCTATTCTGAATGACAGCCTTGCTGGCTAAAGTATTCTTGGCCGCATGTTTTTCCCATTTAGCACATTGAATATATCATGCCAGTCCTTTCTGGTCTGCCAGGTTTCTGTGAACAGGTCTGCTATCATTCTTATATTTCTACCCTTGTAGGTTAAGGATCTCTTGTCCTGAGCTGCTTTCAGGATTTTCTCTTTATATTTGAAATTTGCAAGTTTCACTATTATATGTCAAGGTGTTCACCTATTCTTACTGATTTTGAGGGGGTTCTCTGTGCATCCTGGACTAGAATGCCTGTTTCCTTCCCCAGATTAGGGAAGTTCTCAGCTATAATTTGTCCAAATAAACCTTCTGCCCCTCTCTCTGTCTCTTCATCTTCTGGGACCCCTGTTATTCGAATATTATCTTGCTTTATAGTATCACTGATTTCTCTAAGTCTCCCTTCGTGATCCAGTAGTTGTTTTTCTCTTTTTCTCAGCTTCCTTATTTTCCATCATTTTGTCTTTTATATGACTGACTCTCTTCTATATGACTGCCTCATTTATCCTAGCTGTTAGAGCCTCCATTTGTTACTGCAGCTCAGTATAGCATTTTTAATTTTGGCCTGATTAGAATTTAGTTCTTCTATTTCTACGGTAAGGGATTCTCCGGTGTTTTCTGTGGCTTTTTTGAGCCCAGCTAGTATCTTTATAATCCTTGTTTTGAATTCTAGTTCCGGCATCTTACTTATATCCATATTGATTAATTCCCTGGCAGTAAGTATTTCCTCCTGTTCTTTCCTTTGGGGTGAGTTTCTCTGTCTCATCATTATGTCCAGAAAAGAATAGAAGAAAGAGAGAGAGAGAAGACAAAAATAACACCACCACCACCAGAAAAACAAACAAAGCTAACCCTAAGAAAACAGAAACAAAACAAAATAAGAAAAAATCAAACAAGAAGTAAAACAGAACAAAAAGATCCTGGGTGTATTTGGTCTTTTTATTAAAAGAAACTAGATTCCAAAATAGGAAAGAAAGAAAAACTTATATATATACAAAAATAAAATAAAATACAATGAAAGGAAACCAAAAATAAAAATATATATAATATATATAAAAATTTTAAAAAAGAACTGAAAAAATAAGAGAATAGCTGGAAAAAAACAAAACTGAAAAACTAAAGAATAATTAAAAAAAAAAAAACATGAATGCTATATACTGTTTTCCCCAAGAGTTGAAGTTTTGCAAATTCTCTGTGATTAGTAAACTTTGTGCTAGCCGGTTATTCCTGCTATTCTTCTGGGGTAGGGGCCTGTTGTGCTGATTCTCAGGTGACCTTGCCCTGATGGAATTGCACCCCTGTTGCCAGGGGGTCAGGCTCAGTGTGAGGGGCTCCAGATTGCCTATGTGACGCTGTTTTGCTCCCTGTAGGCTTTCAGCACCAAAGGGTGGGGGGGAATGAAAATGGTGGTGCCCCAGTCTCTAGCCCTGGAGCTGAAGTTTGTGCCCCCCACTCTTCAGTGAGCCCTCACAGAAAAGCAGTCAATCACTCTTGTCTCCCTGGTCTCCATCTAAACTGTGTGTTCACCCAGTCTGTGACTGAGTGTTTTTATCTCAGGCATGCAACCCAGTTTTGAGTCTCCAGACTTTTTGGGTTCCTGTGGCACGGATCCACACTGTTCCTCCTAGGAACAGGAGTGGGGTCACCTGCGCTTCTGCTGGGTCCCTGCCCAGAAAGCAGTTGTGTGACTGTGCAGCAGTTCTCAGTATGGCAACACCGAGCATAAAGCTGGCACCTAGTCTCACTTTTTTCAGCCAGCTTCCCCACTCTGATGCCTGGGAACTCTTCTGCTCTCAGGGCATCCGCATTCTTTTTGTGACCCCAGGGTTCCTGAGACCTCGCTTTCCCACCTGGAAATCTGCCCCACTTCGTCAACTAAGCACCTTTAAGCTAGGGACATCCCCCCCACCATAGCAGACCTCTGCAAGTTCCAATTTTGCACTCCTTTGCTTTAATACTTTGCAGTAGGCTCCTTAAGAAGGCTCCCTCCTCTCACTGTATCCTCCGGTGTATTGCCCTGGATTCACATCTCCACATCTCCTTCCAAAAAGTGGTCACTTTTCTATTTGTAGAATTGCAGCATTTCTTTTCTCAGATCTTCAATTTCACAGATGTTCAGAATGATTTGATAACTATCTAGCTGAATTCCAGGGACCAGATGAACTTAGTCCCCTACTCTTCCGCCATCTTAACTCCTTCCTGATTTATTTATTTATTTATTTTAGAGAGAGAGAGAGAGTAATCAAGTGTGTGCGTGCAGGAGTGGGGACAGGGGCAGAGGGAGAGGGAGAGAGAATCTCAAGCAGCCTCTGTGCTGAGCAGGGAGCCAATGCGGGGCTCAATCTCACAAGCTTAACCAACTGAGCCACCCAGGTGCCCCTGCTTTGCCCATTTTTTAATTGGGCTATTTATCTTTTTATTATTGTAAGAAATCTTTATATGTTCCAGAGACAAGTCTCTTATCAGATAAATTATTTGCAAAGTTTCTCTCCCATTCTGTGGGTTCTTTTCAGTTTCTTAGTCGTGTCTTTTGAAGCACAAAAGTTTTAAATTTTGATAATATCTAGTTTATTTTTTCTTTTGTTGCTTATGGTTTTGGTGACCTATCTAAGAAACCAGTTCCTAATCCAGAGTCAGGAAAATTTATGCCTATGATTTATTCTTAGAATTTTATAGTTTTGCCCATATGTTTAGATCTGTGATCCATTTTAAGTAAACTTTTGTATATGGTGTGAGGTAGGAGTTCAGTTTTATTCTTTTGTTTTTGCATATCCAGTTGTCCCAGCAACATTTATTGAAATATTCTTTCAACAGATATTATCTAATATTCTTTACCCACTTAATTATTTTGACACCGTTGTCAAAAATAGGTTGTATATAGTTACAGGGCCTCATTTCTTTACTCTCAATTTTATTTCATTACTGTATATATCTTCCTTTATTCCAGTACCACACTATCTTAATTACCATAGCTTTGTAACAAGTACAGATGCTGTTTGTTAAAATTTTAACCTATATAATCTTCAGTCAATGATAAATTTTCTCTTATTTTCTAATTTTTAAGACTGATTTGCCAATTTAGTTCAGTTTGTACAAACCAACAAAAAAGGTTGCTAAAGATTTTTCACTTTAATATCACAAGTTAAGCTCAAAAGAAGCATTGGGGAAGGGTCTGCTTTTGAAATCAGGCAACCTAACATTCTCGGAATATACTTATACTCTGAATATGAATCCTAAAGAAAGATCTGGAAAAGACTTTTCTCTTTAAATTTATAGTATTGTCTTCAGAATAGGGCATATTATATATAGATACTATTTTTGCAACTTAGAAAAGATTTCCTAACATCATTAAATGTTTCTACTGAATATCTAAATTATCTGTCATAAATTTACTAACTAATATTCTCAACAGGTTAACAGATATAAAAGAAAAAATAAACCAGTTTAATGAAGAAATTAGACAACTGGACATGGATTTAGAAGAACACCAAGGTAATTTTTCTGGAATTTTTATAATGTATAATAACAGATATATAGTATTGATTTCGTATTAACTTGGGCCTCAGGGACTATTTACCCGGGATTTATTATTTAATTCTTAATGAGATCCCTAACTTTAACTACTAAAATGCTTAACTGTACTTTAATAGTAAATATTATAATTAATGTTAAATTATTTCAGCTGACTAAAACCTTGAAATAAAATGGTGATATAATGACAAGAATTTATCTTGTTTTGCAAAACAATTTTTTTAAAAATGAAGTGAAACAGTTGAAAGTTGTTACAGATTTCTAATTTATACCTCCTTAATATGGTCAACTATAAATCAACTGGGGTAAGAATTGAGGAGGGGAGAGAGGATCATGTCACAAACAGAAAGAGTTAATTCTGTAGGGGTCCCAGTAATGAGGTAGCAAGTACTGATTATTCTGATCCTTTTCCAACTTTCCCCAGCTGTGAGATTTGAAGAGCCAAAGGGACTAGAACACTTGTATGTGTTCTGGGGTGTGAACAAGTGGAAATGGGGTGTGAATAAGTGGAAATGCTTTTGGTGGCTGTTTGAGAGCTATAATGTATGTGTGGTTGGGGGAAGAGATTGGGCATTATAGTTTCCTTACCAGCTTCTTTCTAATAAGGATGAGAAAGGTGGGTTCCTCATGGCACTTTAATCACAGATTAACTGCAAACCGGTATTTATGTGCTCTTGGATTAGGAAGAAGTGACTATATATTCTTATGAGTTACATATGGTATTGTAAACCGTATGCATATACGCGTATACCTATTATGGCTAAAGAAACACTCATAGCAGGGAAAAGAGGTGTTCTATTCCTAAATAAATTTTTTACTTCAGTTTTAAATGTAGTGTATTAGTTTTATTTATATTTTTTCTTGATGTATGAATAATAGCATTAGCTACTATTGATTGATTACTTACCTGGACTGGGCACTATGTGATCTTTGCAAGAACTTTTTGAAGTCTTATAAGCCCTTTTATACTTGTTGAAGCTCAGAGAAGTTTCTAAAATTCCCACAGCTAGTAAAGGGTAAAGTCTAGATTTAGACCAAGTTCTCTTTGATCCCAAAGTTTTATTCTCTTTCCAAGCCTAATCTTGGCTTTCTGATGTGAAGTGCTACATTTGTGAAATAAAAATATTCTTATGATATGCTTACATAGTTTTATTTACATATGGCTAGTAATGGCTTTAAGTAAGACATATTTAGGCATATTAGTCATATAAGGCAGACAAACTTTAAGTCCCAGTTATTAGGTAAATAAAACTTATCTGAGCTTTTATTTTCTCATCTGCAAAATGAATATAATGGTCCTTCCTCACTAAGGTTTATGAATATTAAATGGCATATATGGCAAGAGGGGCTCAAAATAAATTGTTAAGACTAAGGTCATATTATTTTCTTTATTAAATTATTTTATTGCTTTTAATTTGTGTAGATCTAGTATTCTAGATTTTCTTTATTAACAAATTATTCTAAGAAATCTGATAATGTTCTTGATTTTAGACACTTTATAGGAAACTTTCTGAATAATTTTCCTCATCCTAAATTTAAATTTCTAACAACATTCAATTTATTTTTCCAGTGAAGTAACTCATTTTGAGGGTACAATTTATTATTAATTGCTAGTTCTAAGATAAATAGAATGTTTTGAATTTTAGCTTCTGTTTTCCTTTTTGTTTTCTAGCCTTTGTCCTTTTTGATTAATGTGGAAAAAGACAATCTATAATGTAATACTATATATAAAAATATATATGTATGTTCATATATATATACATATATATGTCAACACATTCATTTTTTGTTCTTCTGATACAGTGTGAACATCCTGAATTATGGGTATAACAGCACAGGGGGTTTTGTTAGAAGGTTATGTATTAGCTCAGGACTTCATTATTTCTTGCCGGACCTATCACAGTACACTTCCAACTGGTTGTCCCACATCCAGTCTTGCCCCCTCTCAGATTCATCCACCACAGTGTTGCTAGAGTGACTTAATGTAAAATTGATTCTGTGTCATTCTCCTGCTTAACAGTGGCTCCCCATGACCTATGAGATAAAGTTTAAGAATCTTTGCATGGCATTATAGTCCCTCTGCAATCTGACCTGTATGTTGTCAGTCTCCTCTCTTACTCCTCATCATCTCTATCCTTATATTCTAATAATCTCCTTATGGTACTCCACACCTCACCCCCTTTACGATAAATCAAACTGTTTCATGCTCAATCCTATGCTCCTGCTATTTATTCCTTTGTCTTAAATGTTCTTTCCCTTGTTACTTACCTTGGTAATTTCTCATCTTTTAAAATCTACTTCAGATATCCTTTAATCCACCGTAATAACCCTAACTTCTCTCCTTGACCTATTTCTGGGCTGAGCTAAGTGAGTGACCTCCTCCATTATCAGAGCACACTGTGCATAAATATATCACTGTATTGACCACACTGTATAACCGCTATCTACTAGGATGTTTGTCTTTCCTCTGAGGCTATACATCCTCAAAGGATCTGGACTGTGTCTTATTCACTCTGGTAACCTCTCATCAACACAGTGTCTAGGAAAATAAACAATAAATGTTTGTGGCATGAATGAAATCGTGCTATACTTCAGCAGGGAAAGATTTGTAGAATGAACAAAAGATGGAAGTTGGGCTCTATCAATTCTTTGCACCTTTCAGTTCTTAGGATATACATATGCACTCTTTTCTAGAGATAGTTGGATTGGTTAACAAAGGTTTTATTTTTTTCTAGAGGATTCCTACCTTGGATTCATGATTTCCAGTAAAGTGGTGGGTTCTCACCTACATCTGCATTCTCAGCAGTTCCTTGACACAAGATTGTAGATAATCCACTCCTTAAGATGTGGAGGATAATCAAGATATTTTGACTTTCCAATTCATATTTTTTCCTGCCTCAGGCTTTATTCCCTCTGGCCCATTTTACTAATTTTATAGATGCTACCTTAGCTTCCGCTATTTATGGTACCTTTGTATGATCCACCTAAGGCCACCTTTTGCCTTGTAGGGGTTCTGGTTAAGATAACATATAAACTATAAATGATGTTTGTATATGTCTCACTTTGTTAGTAGTTGTTTCATCCTTTCAGTTTTGCATAATTCATTTTAAATTCAGAGGCATCCTTGGATACTAGGCCAGGTACAGTTGTGTTTTCTGCTAGGTATTAATGGTGACTGTGTAGTCCAATATCTTCCTTAAGTGCATTATATTTATTCATTTTGGCAAGTCTCTAAAGTTTTATTTTGCCAAAGGTTACATTGGGTAACTATGTCTCAAAGCTAACTAAGTAAATTCAGTGAACAGTTATTTGACTATTCTATGAAAATCTTCATTGTGCAGATGCTGAGTTATCCTCATAATACACTTGGACTTTTGACCAATTGTAGATAGGCTTCTTTGATCTAAAATCTTTACTTTTTCTTTGTTAAGTGACCGAAAAAAAATAATAATCTCCTTGCAAAAATTTCAGTATAATAAAATAGCATTTCTCTTTTCATACTGCTAAGGGATTTAATTTTATCATCTTAAATATTTTCTAGACTTCACCCAGATAGTAGTTTTACCTTGGTGATGGATGAGGTAATTTTTTTATATGGGTTCTAAACATATTTAGATTGAAATACATATACTGTCCTGTAAGTAATTGTTATTATTATTTATGCTAACTAGAAGCAATGAGAAATAGTTCTATTAAAAGTTACTAAAGTGGTCAGAATTTGGGTATAAACTACATCATTGCTAAAGCAGAGCATTATTGGCAGATGCCGTACTACTTTTCAGAAAAGGCAGAACCCATCCAGATTTCTCTTTTCTCAGCTAAATGCCAGCCATTAAATTTGCTTAATTGTTGCTTTTTAAATATTGCTTCTGCCTAAAGCCAGCAGAAGGGAAATAATAAAGATTAGAGTAGAAATAAATGATACAGAAACAAAAAAACTAGGAGGCACCTGGGTGGCTCAGTCAATTAAGCATCTGCCTTCGGCTCAGGTCATGATCCCAGTGTCCTGGGATCAAGCACTGTGTCGGGCTCCCTGTATAGCAGGGAGTCTGCTTCTCCCTCTCACTCTCCCTCTGTGCTCTCTCTCTCTCAAATAAAATCTTTAAAAAAAGAAGAAGAAACAAAAAGTCAGTAGAACAGATCAATGAAACCAGGAGCTGGTTCTTTGAAGGAATTAATAAAATTGATAACCCCCTAGTCACTTACCAAAAAGAAAAGAGAAAGGACCCAAATAAATAAAATCACAAATGAGGAGAAATAACCAACAGAGAAATGCAAACAAAAGAGAACATTATGAAAAATTATATGCTAACAAATTGGGCAATCTGGAAGAAATTGATAAATTCCTAGAAACATATAAACTACCAAATCTGAAACAGGAAGAAATAGAAAACTTGAACAGACCCATAAGCAGCAAAGAAACTTAAGCAGTAATCAAAAATCTCCGAACAAAACGAAAGTCCCAGGACCAGATGGCTTCCCAGGGGAATTCTACCAAACATTTAAAGAAGAGTTAATATCTATTCTTCTCGAACTATTCCAAAAAATAGAAATGGAATCCAAACTCATTCTATGAGGCCAGCATTACCCTGATTTCAAAACCAAAGACTCCATTAAAAAACAGAACTACAGGCCAATATCCCTGATGAACATGGATGCAGAAATTCTCAACAAAATATTAGCAAATCAAATCCCACAGTACATTAAAAGAATCATTCACCATGATCAAGTGGGATTTATTCCTGGGTTGCAAGGGTGGTTCAATATTTGCAAATCCTTCAACATGATACCCCACATTAATAAAAGAAAAGAACCATATGATCCTCTCAATAGACGCAGAAGAAGCATTTGACAAAGTACAGCATCCATTCTTAATAAAAACTCTCAACAAAGTAGAGATAGAGGGAAGATACCTCAACATCCTAAAAGCCATATATGAAGGATCAACAACTAATATCACC